GAGGCTTTTCTTTCAGGAGGGGCCAGGACAGGAACACAGAGCTCTCTAGGTAGAGGTGGAGGCCCATCCAGAAGAGTAGCTGGATGTACAGTAAGGAGTTTCCTGGGAAGGGTCAAGGCCTTTGACCTTAAGTTTTCTGAGATTCATTTTCAGGTTTTTCTTTTTTAAAACTGCAACACCATTCTGTGAGTTTCGGGTTTGGATTTTATCAGTTGACATGCCCACCTTGTGTTGGCTGTCTCATGGAAACCAAGTGGGGACCAGAAAAACAGCACTTTGGTGGCAAAGTGAAACAGATGCCCCTTGAAAAGTGTTACCACGGCCCAGCATGGTGGCATTAGCCCATAATCCCAGGAGCTTGGGAGGCTGAGGCAGGAGAATCACAAGTTCAAGGCCAGCAACTTAGGAAGGCTCTAAGCAATTTAGTGAGATCCTTTCTCAAAATAAAAAAATAAAACAATAAAAAGGGCTGGGGATGATGCTCAGTAGTTAAGCACCCTGGGTTCAATCCCTAGGATCCCCCACCCGGAGAAAAAAGAAAAAAGAAAAAAAAGTCACAGTACAGAACTGAGTGGGTGGTGTGGCCTTCTTGAGAATTAATGGTGGCCCTGGTTCTTTGTGGGCTGCAGGTGTTAGGCGAGGAGCACCAGTAGCAGGAAAGTAAAGTGGTTGGCAGCACCAATCTGAGCAGGAGCATAGGCAAGGCTGGTTCAGGGTGCTCAGAGCAGGGTTGCTAGGCTGCCTGAGAGGACAGTTTCAGGACACATGAAACAGCTGAGAGTTTCAGCAGGGAGGTTTTTAGGTCCTCCTTCAAAAAGACTAAGGAAGAGAAATGACTAGAGAGAAGGCAGTCACAGATAGGTGAAGTCTAGGCCTTTAAAAGGAAATACACAAACTTTCCGAGGTGGCACATGCCTGTAATCCCTGCAACTCAGGAGAGTTGAAGCATGAGATGAGGATCACAAGTTAGAGCCAGGCTGGGCAATTTAGAGAGACTTTATCTCAAAACATAGAAAGAAAGAAAAAGGGACTGTGGACATAGCTTAGTAGTGGAGCGCTTGCCTAGCATGCAGGAGACCCTGGTTTCAACCCCCAGGGAAGGAAGAAAGTTGATACTGCCTGGCAAGACAGAGGCAGAATGCACCAGAGAAGTAGTCAATAGCTTTTCCAGGTGAGGTGGCCTGGAAAGTCCCCGTTGTAGATTAAATATTGAAAGATCCCTTCAATTATTTATATGAGTATATTCAAATAAAGTGATGATTCACCTTGTAGGGGCCACATGTATTCAACTTACTTGGATTTTTATTTTTATTTTTATTTTTATTTTGAAGTTAGTGCTCTGCAGAAAACCAGAATTAACTAGTCAGTTATAACCAGAGGTGATAAGGCTCCTTGTGTGAGAGTATAATTAATATCTTTGGATGAAATGTTTGCCAAAGCCCATGCAAATATTAAGAAACTTAAGACACGTATAGTTTCATTTAGAAATGCAAATCATAATATACATCTTTTGCAAAATGACAAGACAGACTTTTCAACCTGCAACATCAAAAAGTAGGAAAAAAAAACCACAAACTTCTCTTTGCCAAAAAAGATCAAAAACTTTGACAATCTATGTCCTTTGAGGACTATGTTGAATTTTTTTATTACTACACCTTAAGAAGCCACTTAACTATTTTTAAAAGCAGAAAGTGTTGCTGGTAATGCAATAGAGCCTGCAGGTTCGACCTCCTTGAATCAAGCCACCTAGGGCAGTTGACTTGGTGGGCAACATCTACAAGGTCACCTGGGCAGTGGCACTTAGAAATGCGAGCTATGTAGCCAAGCAAGGTTAGGGCATCTTTCCCAGTACACAGTGCATTCAATATCTGTATGTTTTGATTGATTTACTTTGTGAAGTTATTGAAGGTTTATATTTCCCAATGTTTCTAATTAAGCAAATTTAATTTTAATATGAAAAATAAAAGTTTACTTGTGTGCAAAATACATTCTCTTCTTGTTTTCTTTCTTTTGGGGGAGGTAAGGAGTGGGGGACAAATCCTGAGAGAAAAATAAAAATAATGATGTCCAAATCATTTTTTTTAACTTTATTTATTTTTATTTATTTATTTGTTTGTTTATTTATTTATTTATTTATTTTTATGTGGTGATGAGGCTCAAACCCAGTGTCACATATGTGCTAGGCAAGCCCTCTATCACTGAGCCACAATGTTCAAATCATTTTTAACATATCAAGAATTGCATTTATAATTGTGAAAATCGTGAAAATATCTTTGGATGAAATTATTGCCTGAGAGGACAGTTTCAGGACACATGAAACAGTTGAGAGTTTTAGCAAGGAGGTTTTTAGGTCCTCCTTCAAAAAGACTAAGGAACAGAAAGGACTGGAGAGAAGACAGTCACAGATAGGTGACATCTAGGCCTTGATAAGGTGTTTTACTATCATGTCTGGCACAGGAGACTTTTGGAAATAAAAAACATAATCTTGCTGATGTAAAAGTGAACCGAAATGTGAATATTTCAAAACATACAAAACAACTAAGTGGAAATTAGACTCTTAAGATAAATGTCATATGCCTTCCTGTCTGGCTTTTATTAATTTCAAGTGTTTTCTTCAGATCCCTAGTTGCATGATGGTTTCTGAGTAGTGATCACCTTTGGTGACAGATTCGTCTCCCCCTGTTGTCCAAACAGATAAAATCAAGCAGTCTAGAAACAGCGAGGCGCTCCCTTCCCGTTATTTGTAAGCTGACAGGAGGGAGACAGACACCTTCTGAAGTTTTATGCATGCTGTTTTCTCTCCTTGCTGCAACAAGAAAAGCCTTTCATTTTAACCTGGCTGTTTTTGAAGAAGTGACTCAGACACCTTCATGGCCTCTAAAGGTAAGAGTAAATATAGCCAGCTAATAAATTATCCTTCCAAATGACTAAAAACACAGTTATTGAGGTGTTATACTCAGCAAGACTGATACATTGTGGGCTGCTATTTGTTGCTTTTGAGTTTCTCATTTTAAAATTTTTTTACTTAAAGGAGTACGCAGCATTAACACACACACACACACACACACACACTCACTTTATCTCATAGAATGTAAAAATTCAAATGTAAAAAAACATGTTTACTTTCATGAATTTAATCAGCAAATTTAGAAAAAGAAGAAAGCTTCATACCAAAAATTGAGAACGAGAATATTGAAAGTCAAACCTAAGAATAAGATGAAGTTCTGAATTTAAAGGGATCTGAAGAAAACTTTTCGCATCTTAGTGAGAAGGCTTTTAAGTACAATTCAATAATTTTTAATTTCCCATTTGTTATGCAAACTATGTGATAAAGTATTTATACGAAGAACACAAGACTATGAAGTATTCAGGGAAGAAAATTAAGAATGTGTAATTGCTAGACTTTAAATTTGATTAATCACAAATGAATATTTCTTCTGGTTTATGAATTAAAAATTTTCACAATTTCTTTGATAGTAAGTTAATTTAAAAGAATCTAAAATATTTAATTTAAGCAAGTAAATCAATTAGGGACTTTGGAGACAAAGGTCTGGTAAATTTTTTATTATGTCCTTAAAACTATAGAAATGTTGTTAGTGTTTTCTTAAGTTCTCAAAATATGTGGGTTTTTCCCCCTTGAGGGAAATAAGTTGCAATTTCCCAGAAAGCACTTGTGTAATTATATAAAAATGAAACTGTAACATGCTTTTGTTCCATTGTCAGAACAAACATTTGAACTCAAGGCTAAAAGGCTTTAGCATAAAGAATTATGATTTGTATAATTGGTGGAAACTTTTAAACCTATTTAAAATAAGTCCAAAAGTTTATAATATCCTAAATTAAATTAATGAACTATTAAAATATCCGTACTTCCTTTCTGAAAGCACAGTTCAGACAGTATTTAATATTAAACAAATAATTTATTCTTTCCATTTTTTATTCACTGTTTAATATAGGCCAGTGCCTGAGAAAAAGAGAGAAAAACTTACAGGCCAATTTTAAAATACATACAAGAAACAGCAAAATGTGAACTTTAATACATGCATACTTCATTGTCTATATTTAAAGACAAACAAAAACCTTGATCCGAATTTTCTTTCATTTAATAATAACACTAACACTTATTCCAAAACTCTTCATCACTTTATAAAATGAGAGTTACAGCAACTCGGTAGCCTGTAAGGTAAAGAGTTGCAGAATACGTAAAATATTTATAAGCTAGTTATACATTTTTAAAAGAGTAGATAGAAATTCAAAGCCAGATAGAAATTCAAAGGATTTCCTTCTTCATCTGGTGGTCTGGGTCTTTGAAGAAACTTGTGACTAGAAAGCAATGCTATGATCAAAATGTGATTAATCTACCCCCCCCAAAAGCAGTGATGTTCTGTAATGATAAGGACTTAAGACTAAACTTAGAGGCAAAACTTTGAGTGGAAAAAAGAACCCCCCCCCCCTTCTGCAGTTTACTGGTAAAATTTAACACACTGTGTGGGTATAACACTGTAATAGGCCTAATAGTTCTTCAAAGAATTGAAGTAACAATGAAGCTATATTTTCAGTTGGAAATATTGTTTGACTAGATTATCATCATCATAGATCTAAAACCTTTTTGAGGATTTTTCTTCAAGTTTATGTGAAGACACTACTTGTAACTTCATAATGGTTTCTGGCCCATGAACTTATATTGTTGGTTAGCATCCCCCCCAGGGAATACAGGTGAGGTGGACATTTCATAAGCAGGTCCATCTGCACTCCTAAAGCAGAGGGCAGTCTGAACTGGAGGACATCATGAGGAATCCTGAGGTCTGGAACCCCCGGTTCAGTATAAATAAGTACATTTAAGAACAAGGTGTCCTCAGATTGAGAACAAGTTTGAGAAAAGAACAAGTTTCTCTGGTGAAGAGAAACTATCTCCAGAGGTTATTGCCATGTAAACTGATATCTCAGAGAATGAAGCAAGTGATCTCAGGCTGATGATCATCTCTCTCAACAGTCTGAGACAGAAACACAGCAATATTCCATTCCTGAATAAAGACTTTGGGCACTGAATCCTCTGGGTTTCAAATGCACCAATGCTTAAGGACCTGCCGTGAGTTTAAAGACCTAAGAACTTGGTGAGGAATGTACAGTCATTTGCCCAACACTTAATAACCTACTGCACTGTGTTACAGTAATTTACAAGATAAAATTGGAGCAATTAGACAATCTTTAAAAAAAAAAGGGGGGGATCCTAATAATCTTATTCCAGATATTGTGTTAGAAATTAACCTTATGTACTTTTTATTTTATTGGGAGGGGTGGTACCAGGAATTAAACTCAGGGACACTCAGCCACTGAGCTACATCCCCAGCCCTAGTTTAATTTTATTTAGAGACAGAGTCTCACTGAGTTGCTTAGCGCCTCACATTGCTGAGGCTGACTTTGAACTCACGATCCTCCTGTCTCAACCTCTCAAGCAGCTGGGATTACAGGCATGCACCACCGTGCCTGGCCTTATGTACTTTTTAAATTGCAAGATAACATATGACCATTAAAATCCATAAAGAGCACCCTGTTGTTTTGTTGTTTCTTAATAAAGGTACATGCCTGTAACCACAAGCAAGAGAAAGATGTGCAACATTTCTGGCACCCCCTGAAATTTCTGTTTAGTACCATAACCCTGCGTTCCCATGTTCATTCCAAAAATGAACCTCTACTCTGAATTTTATCATGGTTAACTAGTTTTCTCTACATCATGTTTTTGCCTCTGTGTTTTTTGAAAATTAATGATGACAGTGCTTGTGGCACTAATACTGGAAAAGGATGTCGATTGCCTTTTAATATTTCCCAGATGCCGATGCTATATTGGCGCTTACCTCACCACCCAATTCGGAACTAGTGTTACATAGTCTTCCAGTAGGACTCACACTTGGGATCCCATTTCAGGGCCCCTTCCTGAGAGCAAGATGAGTTCTGTCCGTCCAAGATCTAAGAGAAGTTCAGGATGGGATTTCTGGGAGAAGCAAACCGTTAGAGTATCATCAGCTCTATTTCAATGGGGTCAAATGACACATTTTTCCATTTGGTCATAATAGTTGAGCATCTCCTGTAAAGATTCTAAATGTCAAAGATCTGTACAAACTTAGCCATCCTACGTTAAGAATAATAAACCCAATTTCTTCCCACAGCCTTCACATTCAGTAAATAAATGGATCATCTGGCAATTGTCCTTCATTAACATTATATGTATACCCAATGCTAATGAGCCTGTCATTGCTAGAATCAAATTATGTCAGTATCCAAAAGGTCATTCATCGAGTATCTTTATTTCCTCATCATTTTTTAATACCCATCCAGTTGCTCATTCAGGGTATACTTGAGTTTTCTTAGTGATGGGAAATGTATTATCTTCAAAGGAAACATGCATTTTTTAAGATTTATTATTATTATAGTTGAGATGCAATAGACAAGAGAAAAAAATATGCCTCTTGTATTAGTCAACTTTTCATTGCTGTGACAAAAATATTCAACTAGAACAACTTAGGGGAGGAAAAGTTTATTTTGGCTTGTGGTTTCAGATTTAGAAAGGGAACCAAATTCATGGCTCTGGGCTCAAGATGAGGTGCACATCATGGTGGAAGAATAGGATGGAGGAAAGCTGCTCAGCTCCTGGCACCATCAGGAAGTGGAAATGGGGATTTCAGGGGCCATAGTAAAGATAAGCTATCTCCTACAGCCACACCCACCAGCCTACAGTTACCACCCAGTTAGTCCATTCACACTAGGAAGGACTGATAGGTTTATAGCTGCCATAATCCAATCAGTTTATCTCCAAACATTCCTGCATTCACATAGGAGCTCTGGGGTAACACATCGCATCCAAACCTTAACACTTCCCATAAACATACTTTCATGAGTTTGGTGTCATTTTTTAATTAACAGCATTGTGATGTATTTTTACTGATATATATGTTACTCCACTATTAATATGTGCATAATGAGATATAATACTTCTTCAAAAATTTGAGTAGGTGCCGCAGGCTGCACGGCTGGGCGGTGTGGGCTCCACTGGGCTCTGAGGCGCGCCTTCGCCTCGCCGCCTTCCTGCTGGGCGCCTCGGCGCTGCTGCTGTTACTGCGCGCTGGCTTGCAATGTTGCAACCTGGCTGGGCACAAAAACACAAGCCGTTCAAGTAGAAACAAAGTTTTATTTTTAAAAAAGCCGCCAGTGGTCTGTGTGCGTCCCACTAGCGAGGGTCCACACACGTGTGTCTACCCGAGGGGGGGGGGCCCACTTCCCCCGGAACACCCTCCTACCATCCTTCCCCAACCAATGGGAACTCTCCCGGAGTCCGTAACTTGAGTTCCGTAACAGGCCGAGGTGAACAGCAGGAGTCCAATTTCCATATGAATGTAATACTTTTGCTGTGGCTCCTAGCAAGTAGGTATTGTAAATTTCTCTTTTGTATAAATCCAGAACCAGTTTCCTTATCCCTTCCATTCATGTGTCTTTAAAACAGTCAGAATCACATACACCTATTGCATAATGAGATTGCAGCCATCTAGATGGAACAAATAGGACAGTGGTCCCATGAGATTATTGCCTACTGATGTCATAGCCACCTTCCTTTGTGAACTATACTTTACGGTGTTCACACAATGAAATTGCCTTATGACACATTTCTCAGAACATCAATCCACTGTTGAGCAATGCTTGACTGTACTTTGTTTACAAAATGGCCTCTATCATTTCTGAAAATATGTCTTTGTTAGTCATGCTCCACACCTACACCCAATCTAAAACAACACAATGCACTAGCTAAATCTACTTGCAAAATTCTGATTCTTTGTGGAAAAAGATGAGAACTGAAAACACTTTTAGTCTTTGAAAAAAGACTCGCTGGGCTGGGGATGTGGCTCAAGTGGTAGCGCGCTTGCCTGGCATGCATGCAGCCCGGGTTCAATCCTCAGCACCACATACAAACAAAGATGTTGTATCTGCCAAAAACTAAAAAATAAATATTAAAAAAATTTAAAAAAGAAAAAAAGAAAAAATGACAGAGTCACCCAAATGATAGTTACATGAGAAGAAAAAGAGCAACTACTAGGAGCAAGTCTATCATTTATACATTAAAATTTAAAAAAAAAAGACTTTTGTATGCATCATGTTCAGGCGTTATTCATAATATTATGAAGAATAATGTATAGTAAATACATTAATAGTATACACTATAGTAAATACATAAATAACATCCCTCCATATTTGAAGTTCCAAATGTAAAATTCCTTTTTCTCTGACTTAGGGGTCGAGTGTTAGTGGCAAAAGTGGTGTAAATTAAAGAAAGGTCACTAAAAAGAGAGCTGCAAGAGATTATCTGAGCTAAGAAGTAACGTATTTTAAGATGGAGTAAATGAGTTGGCCTTAAGATTAAATATGTGTTGAGACTTTCATTCTCTTGCAGATGCACATACTCCAAAAAGCAGAGGGCTGCCTCGTTTTCTTCCTGGAGCTCCAGACCCAGAGCAAAACCCTAATCCAGGGAACCCAGAATGGCAGCCAGGTCTCACTCCACCAAGAAGCTTCTTGCCAACAGTCTGCCTCCCCCCTGGTCTAGAATATTTAAGCCAGGTATTTACATCTTTCTGTTTCTGTGAATTTTTTTCCCCTTAAAATTAATACAAACTTGATTTCTTGCTTTCTAACCAAATTTGAAAGATCTCGACCAATAATTTGCTAGTGTGAGAAAGACATTATAAAGCATGAAATTATAAAATATTAATTTTAAAGTTATTTTGGAAGACACTTGTTTTATTGCTGCTTCTATTTTCCTTATTTACTTGACAGAGTGATGACACTAAGTATTTTTGATAGAGCTATTTAGCACATTTATCTACCTTATGTTCATTGCTCAAGGTGTTGGGAAATTTACCCTCAAGGAATTGTCTCATATGCTTAAGTCACTTACCACCATTTAATTAAAGAATACTTATTGAGTATGTGCCATACTTGAGGCATATAAAAAGCATGAAACCTAATCCCTCTCACCCAAACATTACAACAGGCAAAACAAACAAAATATTGATAAATAGCGCAAGCCTGTGTACAAAATCAAGGTGAACACAAACTTGTAAAATACTCAGGGATATCGATCGAGGAGAGAAATGTTAAGCTTCAAAGAACATGGGAGGCTTCTGCAAAGAAGTGAGAATTCAACCTCTTCAACTGAATCTCCAAAAGAAGATGAACATCCAAGGGAAAATTAACATTATCATCTTCTGATACTGTGCATCTCTAGACCAATGGCTCAAAAGATCATGTTACTATTAGGTACAGTCACTGTTCTGGTCATTGGAAAGGAAATAGTGATTCAAACCTTATAATAACTCAGTCTGAAAAGAGCATCATCCAAATTACATAGCTAAGAAAAAAAAAGCAATTGCTCTGTGTATGTAAAGGTGTCTGTGTCTGTGTGTGTGTGTATAATTGTTTTTGCATTTTATCCTATCAAAGATTAGAATCACACTGATATTGAGATGTCAGCACATCTGCTACAATCTTCAGCTTGTCTGGCATTCTTTCAACTATAAAGTCTCTCTCTTTTATCAAAATCAAATCTCTGTGTTAATTCCCTTAAGGTACAAGAGATGTCTGTTATGCCCGATAGGGTTTAAGCTGCATGCAGCATATGTTCCTGGGAAAATGTTTATAATTGCAGATGCCTCCTCCAGAAACCCATTGGCAGACAAATGTACTTCAGAGACTGGAGAGCTCAGGGAGATGTGTAAAAGAGCTGGAAAAGCCAACCTACCATCTTCCATCTGCAGAAAGGATCAGCTGTAATAGCTGACTAGAGTTGATTAACTGCTGCAAGCTGTTTGGGAATGTTGTCAGACAAGGTTTTGCCAAGTATAAAAGTGATATACCAGTGCCAGAGGGCTGAGGTTTGATGATCACATATGGTCATCGCATATCCTTCTTCCACCCATGAATGATGACACACCCGGGGCCAGATGCTTGACACAAATACAATTTTTTTTTTTTTATCATTCAATGAATAGACATATGAACTCTTTGGCTTCAGTCTAAAAGGTAGAATATTTCCTAAAAATAAATTTTTGCTAAACTTTTTTCAGAAACAAGATATACCACAAAATTGTCGTCGAACCGTTTACATGGAAAGGGAATGATAACCTACTTTATACTAAAAGATATGTATCCACTTTAAACCAACGCACATACAGAAATAAATAAGCATTTCATAGGTGTTCCATCACGGATCTGGAAGACACACGAAAACAAGTGAATTTTTAGGTGCTAATTTTGAACTAAAAAATCCATCAGTATTAAACAAGATCATGAACATTTGGTGATATTACATGTTACATGTTCGATAAATAAATTAAATCTATAATAAAAATCTCTTTATATTAAAAAGTTAAATGATTATTAATTTTTATTTTATTATCTATGAATCAAGCCTATCTTATGACTGTTGAGAGTATCATTTTCAAAAACAAAGATAAACATACATATATACTTACATAAGACATCAGTTAAATCTAAGAACAAAATCAATGGATGCTTTCTAGATTGGATTTGCATTCAGAATAGTCAATGGCATTTTATCCTGTGGTGTGAAAGGACAATTAATTATCACAATTTACTCACCTATAGGTAAGACTAGTTAATTAAAGGCACACGTAATTTGCAATTTATTTTTGAAATACATATATGAAATGAAATCAATGATACCTGTAAACTTGATTTAAAATATTTCTAAAAGAATTGCATCTGAAGCTGAATATCCACGGCTGTGATTGTGTTTTCATTTCTACAGCTCTCATGCTTAAGGAATAATTTACTTGCCCTGACACCTGAATATATAATTCAATCTGTTTAAAGTTTGCAACACTTTCTATTTCACCAACCAATAGAAAAGGACGGAAAGGGCCCATTTGGACCTTGGTTTATAAGTGCCTCAGGGCTGTTTAAAGGAAACTACAAGAACAACCTAAGTCAAGATGCTCAAATCCACGAGGCTTGTCCACAGAGAGAAATCAAATCCAATCCTATTACAGAGGATGAGGTAAGTATGAGAGTGAGGAAAACACAGAGGAAGGGCATGCAAGTTTTAGAGTGTCCCTTAAGAATTCTTTCCTCTCGTCCCTTGGTCTAGTGATGCAGTAAAGTGAAAGTCGAAGGCACATCCAAACTGGTGGCCCCTTATGTACGCTGTGATCTTGGGAAATCTCCTGAATACTGTTTCCTCATGCACTAAATTAGCAATATCTATCTGACTTTTTGTGAAGATTATATCAGAGATTGGGTTAAAATATGTAGCACAGTCACTAACCCCATTGTAGCCAATCAGTAATAACCACTACGTCAGAGAGGTACAACTTCCCTTTTCATTGTGAGGTCGCTCTCAATTGATAGTTTCAGATTTTCAAGACTAAAATTCAACTCATGGCACCAACATTCAGAGTTCCTAAACTCAAGCACTTTAGACCTGACCCCACAGATCTCAATCACTAAGCTACTTCTACACAAATCCACTGCTAAATAATCACATACACCCTTTTGACACCTTTTCTTTTCCCACGACTCTTCATTTTCCCAGATGTAATGCAACACACTACAAAAGACTTTTCTAAGTTTTTAAGAAACTGTCTGCCACAATTGTTGATACGGTTTTGGAATAAAATTATTTTGAGAAAAATATTTTGGGAATCTTAAAAAATAATTCACATGTAGTCTTTTTATCAATAATCAGATTTAAAAAGAGGAAATGGTATAGATTTTATCCCCAACTCAGGATATACAAATGAGGGGATAATGTAGCTTCAAATTTTCTGGGTATGTGGTATTCAATCGAGAACCAAGTTTTATCAGTCATTGGCTTGGTTCAACAATTCCTGGAGTGTTTATTAATGTGATGCAAGAATAAAGCGCAGAAAATTTGGAGGTGAAATAGTGAAACATTAGAAAATAAAATGATCATCAGTATTTTCAGTGTTCATAATTTTGCTTAGTGAATTTCTACCCTTATTTTATTTTATTTGTGTATGTACTGGGCATTGAACCCAAAAGTGCTTTGCCACCAAGTCACATCATCCCCAGCCCTTTTTTCACTTTTTATTTTGAGACAGGTCTTGCTAAATTGCTTAGGGACTCACTAAGTTGCTGAGGTTGGCCTTGAATTTTCAGCCCTCCTGCGTCAGCCTCCCAAACCACTGGGATTACAGTCGTGCGCCACTTTACTCAGCTCTTCTTATTTCTCTTAAAAAACCATTTTGCATTACATACTTTTTAATGTCATTTCTTACCTGTCTTGGATAGCTTATGTGTGAAAATTGATCTCATTGTAATTATGTTACAAATTTATGTCACTATTCAGTAGCAAATCTCTTATTCTGCTTAATAGATATTTTGTTGGGATCTACTGGTTTCTTTCTTTCTTTCTTTTTTCTTTTGTAGCCCAAAGGTAAGTGAATGAGAGATGTTCATAGTATAACTTCTTTTAAAATTTAATTCCATCACTAAGAGGAAGGAGCTGTGACTGAGGAATAGGGTTTGAAGGGAGAGGTTAGTCATTCAAATCATCATTGTCACTTTATTTCTTTGAGTTTTAAAACATCTTAGGTCTTATTATTCAGAGATTAATAGAAATTTTTTTCAAAGGTTATCTTCTTTTCTTTCTTTCTCTTTCTTTCTCTCTCTTTCTTTCTCTCTCTCTCTCTTTCTTTCTTTTGTTTTTTTGTTTTGTTTTATTTATTGTGACAGAGAAAGTTAGCAGAATTAACCACTGTTGCTTTTCCCATTCTTGGCAATTCTTTCCTTCAGTTTTAAGGGTTCCTGTAAAATTTTTGTGTGAATATAAAACATTTTATCCTCTTCTTAATTATGAAATGTGAGCTGTTTTCAACCATTCTAATAGAAAACATGACAGTCATCTGTTTTGTGTATTATAGTAAGGAGATTAATAGTAATCTCTCTGGACGTTTTCAAAGCATTGTGATGTAATTCTTTTTGTTTCCTTTCTGTCATCTTTTCACAGTTAGACCTGATAATTATACACCAGCAGGTGGAGCTTCTGGGAAGTAAGTGTATTACCTTCTACATTTATTAAAACTATTGAAAATATTTTAGTTCTCAGAAGTTTCTTCACATCTCCAATATGTTCAACTGAGCTGGGGATGTATCTCAGAGGTAGAACGCTGGGGTAGCACATGTGAGGCTTGCCTAGACCTGGGTTCACTCCTCAGCACCACAAAAAAATAAGCAAATAAAATAAAGATATTTTGTCCATCTACAACTATAATAATAATAATAATAATAATTATTTGTACCATAGAGTTAAATATATATATATATATATATGAAAGAATTATATTAAAATGAGCACTTGGTCTTTTATTTAATAAAAGCACCAAGTAGAAGAATTAGTATGATTTAAATACAAATAGAAAACTCTAAGTCTTTGATGCTATTACTATCCAAATTCTAACATTACATTTAATGTTAAATAAAAAATGTATTTTAGCATTCCCAAAGATGTTAGTCATTCACATTTCTTAACAGGTTCAGAAATGGAAATAAAGGTTGAGAATAAATAATAAAAATCCATCAAAATTATAATACACCACTGCTTTATCGGTTCCTCAGTGATTCACCAAACAGGAAAATTATTTCTCAGGACACAAATATATGAGGATGATTAACTGATTTCAAATTACTTAAGTGTTTTCTGTTCTAAATTGTCTATGTTATTCCTAAAATGTTTCAAAATTGAGATACATTATTAAATGGAACACAGTTGTACATGTATTACCAGACAGAGATTTAGACACAATCATCACTATTACTAAAAGTTGTCCCAAACTTGCATAACAATGATGAAGCTATTATTTGAAAAGTAGATTCTGGATAGCATTAGTTCTTTAGCAGACAAGTGCATGAGTAGTAATAGTTCAGCAATCACAGTTAATTAATTACATAGCTTTGTTCTCAGATTTTACCTTGATAAATAGATAAGACCTCAAATTTTAGAGCATAGAAATAGATTTGTATAAAGAATAATAACCTCTACTTATTTTAAAGAGTTGATACTGATCTAAACATTATTTTATAAAATAAAATAATTTTTTTCTCTATTAGTGATACTTGGCACTGAGACTTCTAACAAATATGAGATTAAAAATGGCTTGGGACAAAGAATTTACTTTGCAGTGGAAGAAAGCATTTGCTTCAATCGTACATTCTGTTCCACTCTGCGATCCTGCACCCTGAGAATCACAGATAACTCAGGTCGAGAGGTGATCACAGTAAACAGGCCCTTGAGGTGCAATAGCTGTTGGTGCCCTTGCTACCTGCAAGAGGTTAGTCTCTGGATTTTTCTTTTGTTCAAGGTTAGTCATTGTTTCTTTAAGTGATATGATATTTGTCTGGAGCTATGGAACAATTAATCTTTCCAGTGTTAAATTAGTATGTTGCTCTTTAGGATCAGAAGAGCTTGAGGATTTTGTGAGTCACTAAATTTTTCCCTTTCCAACCAAAGACAGGTGGCCTCCATGATGTTAAATGGTTAAGATAGCTCATGCACATGAGATGCACTTCTTGGACTTCTGTACTAGATATATTGTTGTGACATCTATACACTCCACCCTGGGTAGATGCACCTTTGTCTTCTGCAAAAGTAGTAAAGTTCAGGAGGTGCTAATGATGCTATTAGTCTAGAGGCAATGATTCAGTCATTCAATCATAAAATACAATAGCTTTTTATCATTATTTAATTGACCTATAGCAATAACTTTCACTGACATATTAATTTAACTTGACACCAAACTTTTCCTTACTTTATTGACTTTTATATGACATTTCTATGAGCTAGTGAACAAGTTTCACTCTGCACTTTTTGCAGTTAAGGAAACTAGGGTTCACAAGATGGAGACGCTTGTTCATAATCACACACCAAGGGAATGTTATTTGTCAAGCTTGATCTAAGTGTCCTGATCCAGTCCCCAGATTCTCTGTTGAAGTCCTATATCCTAAGTATTGTTCTAAGTGTTATCAAAAGCCCTATCCTTGGCCCAATCCCAATCCAATAACAAGGACACAGTTTTGAGAGAAAGGAAAAAAGGTTTTATTACTTTGCTAGCAAAGGAGAATCAACAGGGGACTGCTGTTCCAGAAGTTGTGGTTCTCCCCACTAGGAGGAACAGGAGGTTTTTAAAGAGGTGATTCAAAGGGCTCCATTCCACATGCTCTCTGCGTTAATTTGGGAGTCAGTCATTTCTGAGATCTTCTGGTGCCATCCCCAAAGTCTGAATTAATTTGTTCCTGTAGTGGTTGTGTGCTCATGGACACATAACTCTTCCTAGGATGGGGAAGAAAGGTAATTCTATTTCCCCTGAGAGTAGGGAGGGGGAGAGAAAATGGGGGGAAAAGAAAGAAACATGTCCGTTTTTAAAATAAGTCACAGTAGTGGAGCAGCAAATACTATATTCTAATCATAAAGTGGAACACTGTTACATAAGTACAAGGGCAATAAATATTCAAACAGAAGACAGTTACTAGGGAAGTTTCTAACAACATCTATTGAAGTTATTTCTCTATTTATGAGAAAGTACCTGGCTAAACCATAAGATGTCTCATACACGGAGCCCAAGAATTTGCTTTTTTTCTTTTTTTTTTTTTGTGTGTGTGTGGTGCTGAGGATTAAACCCAGGGCCTTATGCATGTGAGGTAAGCACTCTACCAACTGAGCTATATCCCCAGCCCTGAGAATTTGCATCTTTTATGACGATTTTGAAGGTTAATATGCCCCAAGATGTTGTAGTCTGCATAATAATAAATATGTGCCCATGAAATTTACTGATAATTGTTATTTTATAACATAGTAGCATAGTGGAACATAAATTAAGATAAAATGTATCTTGATACCCATTAATATTTATTAACTTGGTCAAAAGTCCAACCAATTATTTAAAAATTGATCTCAGAATAAATATGTCATCCTTAGCAATCCTATTAAATTCACCTCTTTGTATCTAAGAAAACTATAGATGTGCACATAAGACCACGAATTCAGTAAGGAGAGTCTAAAGGATATTGGATGATGGAGAGTTGATTTAGCTTCAAAGCCAAAAAGTTATATTTAAATTTGTAACCAACCCTTACTTATCATCATACAGAGGAATTTGATTTGACTTCCATAGATATGAAAGGGTAATGGAGTCAAATTACACTTTGGAAGGCATGAACCATACTGTTTGTTTAATAACTGTAACTCTGTAAAAGGAATTTTCTTTTAAACAAGCACAAAGAGGCTGGAAAAACTTGTGAACATTTAATGATTGGTAAAGGAGGCTTCGAATAGACATGTGTTGTGATAACAACTGAGAGGAAGTCAGTGATGAGTTACCACAAGGTGAATGGCTAAGCTTGACCAGCTGCCTGAGATGAAAGGTAGGAAGCCAGTGGGCCAGGTCAGACATTATGTTGCAGGGGAAGGGACACTGGTTGACATCTTTAGAAGCATATATTTAGAAATATTTGTAGAATACAAAAAAAATGATATCATAACAGCATATACAGTTTAGAGTTAAATTTGCAATAGAATGTAATTACAATATAATAACCTTTGAAAATCTTATTTTATCTTTTATCTTTTCTGACAGTTAGAAATCCAAGTCCCTCCTGGTACTGTAGTTGGTTATGTTGCTCAGAAGTGGGACCCCTTTCAACCCAAATTCACAATACAAAATGCAAACAAAGAAGATATTTTGAAAATTGTTGGTCCTTGCTCAACATGTGGCTGTTTTGGAGATGTGGATTTTGAGGTATGATTGACATAATGAATAAAATTGTTTACTTAGGTCTTGATTTTTTGCAATATTATTTATTTTTAAAAATATTCAAATCATGAAATATCCATGAAATAAATTTAGAAAATAACATATTAGTGAAATCTAATAAATCAATATGTTCCACACCAACAATAACTTAAAGTTGCAGATGCTAGTTCAACAATTTAAAAAAATATACTATAAATATGCCATCCTAACCATGACATCTGCAAGCATTTTTTAAGTTTTTTTTAATTTTAATAAAAAAATAATAATGATGGTCATTATGAAATATATTAAAATATATATATATATATATATATATATATATATATTTTGCTTTGAAGCTAAAGCTAAAGTACACTTTTCCTAAAAGGGTACTTAGCTATTATATCTCTTTTCTTAAAATAGTAAGTGCCTTATTATTTTTTATCTAAGTTTTTGAACACCAAGCTTTCTGTATATAAAGTTACATTCTTTTTTAAATAACCAAATTTTCTCATTTTGAAAAAGAGTGGTACATCCTAATATGGGTGAATTAATTTATACAGAATTACAAGCATATATGGTATAAAGCAAATGTGTACATTTCAGATCACCTAAATTATAAATGTCTTTTGTGTAGACCTGATTGTCACAAACCCAGTTTAGATATAATTTCAGAAATGTATTCCATTAACATATTACTAATTTAAAAGCTATGATTGTAAGAGTTGCTAAATTTCATTATAAAGTAATCCACTCTCAGTTTTTTATAATTGAATGTTAAAGGAGATAATTATAAATTCAGTTAGTAACAAAATGAAATATCTTTCAGATTCCTCTAGACATACATCTGTAGGCAGAGGAGACAGCTTAATTTCAAGTGTATATTTATTTTTTTATTCATTTTTTTCAGTTTTCAGACTTCCAGGAACATTATTCATACATTACATAATTTGCAAAGTGAGATGGGCTAGTTCCACCCATTTTGAAAGGATTTGGTGTGGCTTTTTAAATAGTTAATATAACTAAGGAGAAGTAAAACATAAGTTTTAGTATTGATGGTATAGAAATGTCCTAGGTAACATTCATTCTTTTCTGTCTTCTACCACTACATGGAAAGCGAAAGACCATATTAAATAACCTTCAGTGTCAGAATGGGAAACAGGGAAAAGAAATGCATAGTTGATAAAGATGAATTGTAGACTCTCTCTAGCTGACAAGGTAGTCTTTAGTGTCAGATTATGATTTCCTTTAATATACATTAGCTTAGAGTGTTTTGTAAAGTTAAAATATGACTTAGAGTTGGTTAGAAAGGAATGACAGCAAATATCTGAGTATAGTGTAAAGTAATTTAATAATATGTAATAATGTTTTAATAATTATAAAATCATCTATAAAAATGTTTAAATTCACACATTTTCTGTGGAAATTATTTTAATTATTTCTAAAGCTTTCTCAAACATATTTTTGTGTATGTATGTATGTATGTATATATATATATATATATGTATATATATATATGCATTGATAAATATGTATTTTTTTAGTGGTGTATTCAGGCTTAAAATCTGCACCATGGTTAAAGGAATTACCTTCCTATTTAGGCCATATAATTGAACTGCTGCCATCTTGTGGTTTCCTGGACTTAATTATTTATTGCTATTATATTCTCCATCTGCATACAAAAAGGGAAAAAAATGATGTTGGATTAGAAAACTATCAGAGAAGCATGATTTATGACGAATAAATTAGAAAATTACATTTACAATCTTGTGCTTATATAAAAGGAATGAATAACATGAAATGGTCTTTGGAGATGATGAATAAAATCATTCATACCTCTCATGAAGTAAGCATCCTGGAAAATGTGCAATCATCTCTTTTTGCCTTCAAATTTGATAGCTCTTGTCTTTTCAAAGGTGAAAACCATGAATGAAAAGCTTACCATTGGGAAGATTTCAAAGTACTGGTCAGGATTTGTAAATGATGTCTTCACAAATGCGGACAACTTTGGCATCCATGTTCCTGCAGATCTAGATGTGACGGTCAAAGCAGCCATGATTGGTGCTTGTTTTCTCTTTGTAAGTGTGGTCTTGGGGGTTTGAGTGATTTTTCTTCTCCTCACCTGTTCATTACCCCAGAGCTAATCCCAGTTTACACCGTTTTGACCTACAGGATGTGGTTTGTACAGGGAAGTCTAGTTTAGGACTAATATTCTTCATAAATCTAAATTTAATAGCCTTCATTTCTACCGGGTGGCCCCACTCCAGCTGCCTAATGGCCCTTAGGGATTTATGCCCTGTGACATCGTTCTCGTCTTTTTCTCATAAACTGAGTTTCCTTCCCTTTCAATGTCAATTTTGATTATTTTTTACTTATTTTCACTTTAACTGACAATATGTAAATATAGATGTCACATGATTTATCCTTAGTAAGAATCAGAGCAATTCCATTGGTTAGCTCTTAGCTAGGTGCTGTTCAGAATGAGAAAAGTGCAGGTTTTTTTTTTAATTCTTTATATCTGCTGAATATGGACACATGAGATCCAGAGCTTCCGATTGCCATCATAACAAAGATAATGCCCTTATTCTTACTTTCCAACTTATAATATTCTTGAAAACATTTTTGGATGTGTGGAGACTGGTGGCCCAATAAGACAAGTAGCACCTGGCCTAAAATGCTTGCTTATCTAATGATCCTAACCCCCCTTGAACATCTCCCTCATTCACTACCACTTTCCATGCTCACAAAAACTCACAAAATTTTTCAACAAACTAACATTCTTCTCCATATTTTCCTGTTCCTCAGTTTTAGGATCCTAAATCTTATGGGTTCTGTTAATGTACGCAGCTGACAGTCCTATGCATGGAGTCTTCCCAGAACACTTGGAAAATACATGAACTAAGAAGAATACTTTAGTGACATCACTGCTAGACACTCAGAGCTTATCACAGAAATAGATGGATAGAGATAGGGACAGAGAGATTGGGACAGACAGGGACAGAGCCTCTAATGGAGATACATATTCACTGGGAATAACTAGTAGCTGACATTCACTTCTTTTTTGTAAGTTTATAATATTATAAAACATTCACACTTTTTTTGGCCAATATAGGTTTCAAAACAATTTCTCATGTGATTTTCCAAGATAAATTATTTGCTCAGATTCATAATTCCAAAATAAATTCATAATTATTTGCTCAGATTATGAATTCATAAATTCATAATCTCCTACACTGACCTAGAATACCTAAAGTTGAAGTCTGCTGTCTTGATCAAATTTCGACTGAGACACAGTGCTGATTTAAATGAGGTTTCCAAGTTATTTATATTCTCAAAATTCAACATGTAAGTGTCATGCAGCTTAAAACTTTTCAATTTTCCTCCTACTGATAAATCACATGTTGCTGAAACACCACTGGGAAATATAATTGCTTTATATAATCAAAGCTTACAAGTCAGACTCTTGATCCTAATTGTTGCCTTTTATAAATTCACTCATACCCAGTTTATTTATTTGTAGGATTTTATGTTCTTTGAACATTCACTAGCTGGATTGTAACAAGCAAGATGATGAAAACAATAAAATATGCAGAATATATTTCAGTGAGTAAAAGGCAATTTGAATGATCTCTTTCCCTTTGAAGATGTCTATATTTGACGCTATCTAATTCTTTTTCATTTTATTCTAGATATCCCTTGGGCCCTGGATTTCATTTCTGAATGGTTTGAGTATTTTCTCTCTTTCTTTTGTAACAAAATGTTAATTATTATATTTATTAAAACATAATTTAATGAGGCAATTATCCAGCTGTGAATGCATGACAGCTAAATACACAATTACTGGCCTGAGCACAAGGTTGCTTTGAGAGATTACCATTCTTTCTTTTTATCCTTTTGAAGTCATTGCAATGGTAAGCATGAAAGATGAGAACTAAGGCTTTCAGAAACACTGATGAAAATTCAATGTTTAGAGAATACTTTGAAGTTTTTTCTGGTACTAAGGGTAGTTACTAATCAAAAGGACTGAATGTCTAAACTATTTTTTTCAAAAGTAGTCCTTTTGACTTTGTTTGCTAATGTTCTTATTGTAGTGAGCTATTTTTACTTTATATTGGAAAAGTTACAGGTTGAATAAATAATATGCTTACAGATGAGGAGGAAAAAGATGGTATCAATCAATTCTAGGGGCAAGAGACACAGTTATATTGCAAAAGGAAGCTCATATTTACAAACCGAAGCCTATGTAAATATCTACTCATGCCAGAGTTTTAAATAATCCTAAAAATAGATTTCTAAATTAGCAGAGGCAGTATTCTCTAACAGGAATTTTATCTACTTGCAAGGAAATTTCAGCCAATCGTGGGGTCTGAATCTTTGAAAACGAAAAATGAACAACTCTAGCCTTTTAAAAAAAGCAAACAAATAAAAGCCAAACCTATGAGGCAAATGTAGAAATTAGAGAGCAAAGTATATTCCATTTGTCAATACCTTCTGCTTCTTAATTCTGTGGAGTTTTTCCAGTTATTTACCTGCACTGTCCACAATTTCCAAAGCCCACGCAAGAGGAAAATTCTTTTTTTATGAATGACAACAATTCTTCTTCCCTTTTTGAAATGAGGGAACAGATTTTTTTTTTTAAGCAAAGCTCTACATTAGAATTACACAACTATCCAAATTTCCATGCACGTGTGAAAATGTTTGGAGAACTGTTAAGCAATCCCCCAGTTCCAACAGGGAACAAATTCTAAGCATCTCTTACTAAGAGGATTGTTTGAAATTAGGAAGCAGTCATCTCCTAGAAATATATGTGGCAGGTTTTTATTTTTTTTGTTTTTCCTAAATGGTCCATAACTATCCATTTTGTTCCATGTTCTGAGTTAAGGCCCTTATGTCGTATTAAAATGGAAAGGAACAGAGAGCCTCTTCCTTGTTTTCTGGTTTAATTACCTATAGCATTCTTTTTGGGTGGTCGGTGGGGGGTGTACCACAGATTGAACTCAGGGCCACTGGACCACTGAGCCACATCCTCAGCCCTTTTTATATTTTATTTAGAAACAGGATTTTGCTGAGTTGCTTAGAGTCTTGTGATGTTCTCAGTCTGGTTTTGAACTCAGGATCCTCCCACCTTAGCCTGGCAAGTCAGTGGGATCACAGGAATGCATCGGAGGCCAGGCTCCTAGAGCATCCTTTGTTCTCTCTTTACATCTTCACCCCTTTCATGAGCACCCACTCTTGGCATACAGAAACCGTAAATTACCTCTCCATTAACCACAAAAGATCTTTACCTGGAACATAATAGTATAGATACTAATCGAAAAAGGAACCAGGTTTCAGAAACACACAGCGTTTCTCCCAGTCATATCATCCCTGCTTTCAGTGTGACTGGAATCGGTGTCACCTGCATGTGGGAGCAACACAGATATGGAAGGGAATCCAAGTTCCATTTGCAATGGCGATCACCTTCAGTCTGGCGCTACTGTTTACTGGCTGGGCAGCCTTCAACCTGTAGTCCTCTGGAATCTTCTCGGGTTCTCATGTTACCTTGCAGAGTTGTGGAAAGGGCAGCTCAGTCTATTTCAAAGAAAGTGTGTCATTTATGATCCCTTATAACAAGCTAAGGGAAACAGCATTTTAAATCTGATGCATATTTACTAATAAAACGGAGAACAATTGTTACTATGGTTTGAATGTTGGCTCCCTCCAAACCCATGTTAAATTTAATTGCTGTTGTAACCATAACAAGAGGTTGTGAGGCTCCAGTTTCATGAGTGGATTTAATGCTTAATAAAACAACTTTCAAGTGCAGGATAATTTCCTCCAGCCCCTTCCTGTCTTCTGTAATGTGAGAAGCAGCAACCCTCCCCTCCAGGGAGCACCATCTTGGAAGCTGAGACCAGACCCTTTCCAGGCACCTCCTTGGGACTTGATGGTGAACTTTCTAGGCTCAGAAATTGAGAGAAATAAACTCCTGGTCTTTATAAATGACCCAGCCTCAAGTATTCTGCTATAGCAGCAAAAATGGACTGAGAGCATTGCTAACCTTTCCAAGGATTTAGTACATGCCAGGTACCATGCTCTGAGTTTCTGGTGGGATGTAAAATTGAAATGCAATGAAGGAAACTGGACAATGTCAAACTTGTGTCCACCTCTGTGCCCTGCACCCCTACTCTGTGTTGCACATTTTCTTCTTAAAGATGATTCTGCTCTCCTATCTTCTGCTTGTCCTTATTTTTTTATTTTTTTATTTTTGTGATTGGTGTCATAACCTTCACGGCTAAGACTTTCTCTGTGGAAAGAATGGGGAAAGGAAAACACCATTTGTAAATGTTACATTTTAATATGACGAACTGCTTTAAAGTTTAAAAAATATATATTTAAATAAACCTTAAAGGAACTATCAGAAAGAACTATTCAACACATACACATCTAATGGAGTCTCACTAAAGATAAAACTCCTTCTTAGAGTATAGGACTCATTTTCAAGCTGACTCAATTTGATGAAATCCTCCTGAAGTACATTGTTCCCAGGTTAGCACATTACAAAAACCTAAGTCCTATGGGGTCTCTCCTTCCTCATTAAAGGCTAAAATGTGTCAGCTCTGGATGCGAAGCCTTTAAGTCCTGATGCACAGGGTTCTAAACAATTATTGCACCCCACAATAACTTAGGCTTTACGTCTGCTTGGATAATGAGGTGTGGCTCCAGGAGTAGGTGTCACCCGGTGGGAACTCACCTGTTCCTTTGTAATCCTACCCCTTTGCCCTTTTTGGGATAGAATATTCCATGGAACAACCTCCCCAGTTTTGAGGTCTGCTTTCTCTCTTTCCTGCCTGCCTTGACTCCTTTGTGGGAGCTGGGTCAGAGGAGCCATCACAGAACCCAAAGAAAAAGGTATTTCTCTGTCTCTGTGTGATTATTTCGTGCCAGCCCAGTTCACCTGGAGTGACCCTGACTGGTATCTTTCTATCTCTTCAGTGTTCTGTTTTTTTTTTTTTTCCCCTTTTCCACTAAACAAGACCCTAGCAAGACCCTTTGAGGTTCAGTGAAACGCTGCTGTAGAATGAGATGGATCCTCTGTGAATACCTTTCTGGGTTCTTACCTTGGCCCCTGGATTTAATAAATATTTGTTGAGTATTTCCTACATCCCCAAAATATAGTCTTTGCTGGGTCTGGGGTTGTGGCTCAGTTGTAGAGCACTTGCCTAGCATGTGTGAGGCACTGGGTTCAATCCTCAGTACCACATAAAATAAATAAATAAATAAATAAATAAACAAAGGTATTTTATCCATCTATGATTAAAAAATAAATAAAAATATAGTCTTTGCTCTTATGGCATGGATAGTTAAGTACAGGAGATAGCTGTTAAAGAAAATGTGGTTTATATACACAATGGAATGTTACTCAGCCATAAAGAAGAATGAAATTATGGCATTTGCTGGTAAATGGATGGAAATGGAGACTATCATGCTAAGTGAAATAAGCCAGTCCCCAAAAAACCAAAGACCAAATCTTCTTTCTGAGATGCTAACACACAATAAGGGGTGGAGGTAATAGAAGTTCATTGGATTAGACAAAAGGGAATAAACGGAAGGGAGAGGAATGAGAATAGAAAAGAGTAGAATGAGTCAGACATCACTTTCCTATGTTCTCATATGAACCAGTGTAGTTCCACATCATGTACAACCACAAGAATGGGACCTTAATTAGAATAAGTAGTACTCCATGTATGTATAATATGTCAAAATACACTACTGTCAGGTATATCTTTAAAAAAATTTTTTAAAAGTAAAGATTAAAACAATTTTAAAAGTTAGGTTGGTGAGATGGCAGGAGAAGATGCTGATGTTCCAAGGTAGGTTGCTATAGTAGGTTAGGTGACAGGTAGGGTAGCTTGGGTGGGGCAATCACAGAAAGAGGAAATGAACAGACTCAAAGACTATTGTAGGAGGTTAAATCATTACTTCAAGCTGGATTGAAAATGGAACTGGGGGCTGGGGATATAGCTCAGTTGGTAGAGTGATTGCCTCTCATGCACAAGGCCCTGGGTTCAATCCCCAGCCTCCCCAATAAAAGAAAAATAAATAAATAAAGACACAGAACAGGAAACATTCAATATCCATTTAGGACAAGAGGATTACAACCCTTAAAGAGCAGAGTAGCAACACAAGATGCCACTTCTGACAGAGAGTCTTTAGACTAGAGTGTTAAGGTCTGTAGACAAGTCAAAATAACAGGTGGTATTTTGCCAGAGAAATGTTAGAGTTCCTAAACAAGTCTGGATGGTGCCTGGCAAAATGCCAGAGGGAGTGGTTTGAGAAGTAACAAAAGCGAGCCATTAAGTGTGGAGATTCCTTATTGGTTGACTGATGTATCTAGTTTATGCTAATTAAGATAAGCTGTGCAAAATGTATAAATAGCTCTGTTGTCCTACAATAAACGGCTCCCTCTCCTGCTGTATCAACGTACACAAGTTATTCGTCACCCCCCGGTTATTCTGCTGCAGCCGGACCCCGGCACTAGAGCATCTGGGTTTAAAGGAAAACACATCAGGGGCCAGGGTTGTGGCTCAGTGGTAGAGTGCTCACCTTGCACGTGCAAGGCCCTAGGTTCAATCCTCAGCAGCACATAAAAAATAAATAAATAAAATAAAGGTATTTTTTAAAAAAGGAAAGCATATCAGCTCAGTTTTGAATGCACTAAATTTCTAATGCTCTAAAGTCTTTCAAAAGATATCCAGTAGGAAAAGGTGGAAATTTTTCTGCTAGTGTATTTCTAAAAAGAGCTCAGTTCATGAGAACTGTTTGGACCCACAGAGACCTGAATAATTCTTGGTTTATTTCAGGGAAGTCCCCAAAATTATTTTCAAAAATACTTCAACAATGAATTCATTCATCCATATCGATTGATTGAATTTTTTGTGTGGCACTGTAGATGGAACCCAAAACCTCACACATGTCAGCAGTTGCTCTACTGCTGAGCTATAAGCTCCAGACCACTGTTTATTTATTTTTAATTGACAAAAAAATTTTCATTTATCAATCATCTATCACATGATGTTTTGAAATACAACACTGTAGAATTGCTAAATTGAGCTAATTAATCTATGAATTTTCTTGCCTCACGTTTTGTGGTGAGAACACTTAAAATTTACTGTTTTAGCAATTTTTAGTAATATTAATTCCAGGCACAATAATGTGCAGTAGATCTAAAATTTATTTCCATCCATTTGCTTGATATTTATGGAATTACTTCTAAATATTAGACTCTGTCTTAGATACTAGGTTATTAATGTTCAATGGTATGTTGTCCCCAACATTCTTTCAACAAATCTCTGTGGAGTGCAGGCAGCGTGTTACACATCAGGTCATCACTTAAGTGATCACAATAAACAAAGGCATTAAAGTACTTGTTCTCCTGAGGCTTATGAATAATAATAAATGACAAGAGAAAATAATATAATGGAACTGAAGATGATCATAAATACTGATAAAGAGTCTACCACTAATATCTAAAACAATAAACTGAGCTTTGGATATTGTAAGAAGAGAGTTTAGGGGAAAGAGTAAGGCTCCTAAGTTATAGTGTGGACTTCAGCAGACTTCAGCTACAGAATCATGTTTACCAGGGTAAGATGTAGCTAATTGTCTTTCAAAAATATGATCATTGCACTGAAGCTGGTGCTGATTATCTGATTTTCAGGAATTTCATGACAGGAATGTTACTGAGGGGAAGATCAGAAATGTGTATTCTTTGGTAATGAATCTCTGATTGACTAAGTTTTGATGATTAGTCATTGCATCAATGAGTTAACAAGTAACCAATTTTCTACCAGGAGGTAAAGAATTTTATATTCTCAAACCCATGAAGAAAAGTAACTCGAAATAAAAAAACTAGAAACAGAGGTTGCCGTTCCTTTTGTGCATAGATCAGACAAAAAAGTAGCAAACCCCAAGAATATTGGGGAAAAGAGAATCCCAGGCATCTGGCAAAGCAAGTGCGAAGACTGAGTCCAGAACACGCTGCAGGCTGGAGACACATGGAGCCTATAGGACCTGAGTACAAGTGAGGCAAGAGGGAGAGTGCCAAGGTCTCGGCTTGGCACCAAAATCACGAGCCACCACACAGCTTTGTAGATTCAAACAGCAATTCTTTATTCCAGCTCTCACACCGCCTCCACACAGGTCCAGGGGCAATCATGTTCTCCGTCTCCCGCACTATTCACCTACTCCACGAGGCTATCTCCAAATCCCATTTTAATCTCACGAGAACTCAACGGGAACAAGCAGCAGGAACACCCTAATCCCAGCAATAATCTTCAATCTCCAACTGCCCTAAAACCCATTATCTTAAACTGATACCATTGTCCAGGGCTGGGTCCACAGAATCCTGCAAGGGAAAGCATGTGAGAAAAACTGGCACTTGGCTAGATACAGGACCTGAAGGATACTAAGAACTGGAAGATAAAGTCAAAGTTTCTGCTCAGTCCTACCATCTCCTTTGGGAAACAGAAGATTAGCCATGCTGCTAATCAAAACAAATGCAACCTGAGGCTGCAAAGACAGGTGCAAAGCAGGTGCAGTTTTACAGGTGCTATGATAACAAGAGCAGAACAGGAAGCATTCAATATTATTCAGGACAAGAGGATAACAACCCTTAGAGGGCAGAGTAGCAACATAAGATCTGAATATCTGCCCCCCAGGCCAATTCAAGTCAAAGCCAGGAATTAAATGTGTGGGAGAATATTCCATCTCAAGAGCATAACGCAGGGCATAGAAGTAAAAAACACAACAGCGCTGAGAATGCAGAGGCCCCATGAGATTGAAATGTGCCTAAGGGGGTCACACTCTCCTCTTGGACCAGGAGACCCCTGCTTCTTACTTCATGTACCTCATGAAGCTGTTAATTATATAGCTATTTTCTGGTTCAAGTAGTATCTGCTTCTCCTGGATTGGTGCTCTTTGCTCTCCTTAATCACAGCAGTCTCTGCAGGCTTTGGGAGTTATATAGACCTGATTTGAAACTCCAAAATTGAGTCCTAGTGAATGAATAGGTATGGAAGAGAGAAAATCTGAAGGAAAGAAACTAAAACTTATTAAATAAATAGCCCCTATTTCCCTACAAGACAGAGTTTTTGATAGATGAGCTGAAGAAACAGTTTATGACTCAGCACAGATAGCCACTCACTAAAACTCTGCTTTACATTTACCAGT